CAACCGTTTAGAGATCGATGTGATAAAACCTGAATCTTTATTTTCCACTAAATCCTTTTGATGTTTAAAGAATTATGTAGAGAGCGTTAGATGTATGTACATAAATAAAGGGAAATTAAAGGCTCAAAACCTAGACCAAACAACCAATAGAATAATTTACTGCTAAGAACGCAATTAACTGTTGAGTGAACTTTCATTCGTTTATTACTGCCTCAATCTCGTTCAAGCACCCAACCGTGAATGCTAATTTCATTGGATTAGACCCCAAAAAGCAGTTGCCTGGTAACAAGGCAGCCTTATATAATTGAACCTGGTTCACCCATTGTTCCATTGAACATCCATCCGCATGTGGGGATATATGTACACGCACAAACACACACAGACACACACATGCAGAATGATTGTGGCCAAAAACTGCACTCGGAATTCGTGGCATACTTGTTTGGGTCTTTGCCGCTGGAATTCTTGCACTCAAACAAAAAACAAGCAAGGAAGACAACCCACAATCGTAACGGGATAAGCCGAAAATGTAGCGCATCTTTGCGGGGAGAGTAAGAGAGGGAGAGAGCAAGAGAGAGAGAGAGAGAGAGAAGCGTGGAGTAACAGTAACCACGTAAGGTATTTCCCCTCTCTCACGATTTACTTCTTTCCGTTGTTCTTTTGCTTGCTCTAGTTCGAACGCTATTTTCACTTCGTTCTGTTGCTGTTACTGTTACTGTTTCGTGGGCTGAATTCGATTAGAACCGTTAACCGCTCTCGGCGCCAAGCGAACGCCAACTAAACTTATCAGCCACCGAATGTTGCCATAAAATCATACATATATACATACATACATATGTACATACATATTCGTATGTATTTACATATGTGTGTGACTCCCATTGTTTCTGCTTGTGTGTGTGTGTGAGGGTGTTGCGACGACAACGAGCATGCAACAACAACATGTTGGACCTTAAACAGTGGAGTTCCAGCACACACAGGCGAAGAAGAGAAAGAGACAAAACAGGACAGACAAATGGCACATTAAATGTAGGGTAAGGTGTGCCCAATATCCAAATTCAGCCTCTTCCTCACTCTTTTTGTCTAATTTAATATGATGTGGTGTATCAAATATCATCCATCATATTACATTTATTTCACCTTCAGTTTAATACACCTTGGACACCCCACACAGAGGGCAGAGAGCGAGAGAGAGAGCACCACACCATTGTTGATTGCACATTTCGCCTTTTCCTTCTACTTCTGTTTCTCCCTTACCAACTGCATCGGCATCTATCGGCTGCGACTGCCCACAGAAGTAGCAGACAGAGAGAGAGAGAGAGAGAGAGCTTTGTGGATTCGAGCTGATTGATACCCTTGCAGAGATTTCATTTGCAAATACGTTTATGAGCTCAAAGCTCTGCATTCTCTGCGCTACAAAGTTGTAGTCAAAATCAGCATACCCTTGGCAAAGGGTACGAGGAGCATAACGACAAAGAAATCCCCTGCAAAATGCAGATTGCAGAAGCGACAGGTCAGGACAGGGCAGGGAAGAGCTGGGATGGGATGGGCAGAGACCGAAGCGCAGCGTAAGCTTGTTTTTTGCTGGTCTTCTGGCCTCTGAGAGTGCTTCGAGCATGTTAATGGGGTCGCCCGCCTTGCCACGCCCACAGACTTGCCAGACCTGCCCCCACCCACACGCTGCACTCGCTGTAACATTTACAATTCTTGTGGCTAAATGTAAAATTGATCAATTTTGGTTTCAAGCCACCCACCACCCAAGTGCATGTTCATGTGCATGGGCATGTGTGTGTGTGGGTGTGTGTGTGTGTGCAAGAGAAAGTAAGGAAGAACGGGTGGGGAGAACCAAGTGGGCCAAGATATGGTGTACGTGGAGTGTCTAGGCACCCGTTCCAAAGCCTCTAATTGCTGTTTTCGGACGCTCATAATGCAAACGAAGGGGTTGACTGCCACTGACACAGAAATGCATACATAAATACAGTTATGCACATGCATGCACACATACATATGTGAATTTGTAACTCCCTTTATGAAATTATACAATTTTCCCATCTTATAATTAATTAACTTGCAGTTGACAGCGCAAAATTAGTTGGACGCCAAAGCGGCATTTAAATTTGACTTTAATTATCGCTTGCAGCATTTTAAAGGATATTTACCTGTCACTTATGTAAATAGTAGCAGAATTCATCGAAGCGTGCCTCACATTGCACTCGTGTTGTGGCAGTAACATGGTAATGGAAATTTTTGGCAGCGCATCAGCGTCATGGTGGGACGGAAGCTGAGCCCGGCACGCGCACCTCGGATCGACAATGTCTGCGTGTGACAGCCAGGGTATTGGAATGAAAATGCCACAATGGACGTCACAGCATTCACTTGCCACAAAAACTTGCCAACCACACTCGGAATCCATCAGCCACGCATTCACATTGTACATCGCTGGCTCCCAAGCTGTCTCCGCAGCCTGCTGACAGGCAGAGTTGCCACATAATTCGATTACCGTCAGGCACATGCATGCACTCCACTCCGATACGATACCTCTGTCGCGGGTAGCGCCACAGCACTGGCGGATCACAAATGGGGTATAATCGGGGGCTAAGGAAAACATTTAATACCAAAAGAAGGAGAGGGAGTATACCCAGTCGAGGGAGGATACCCTCCCAGAGCAGGAGGAGTAACATCTTCTTTCCATAAGGAGGCATTCCCTTTCCCTAGCTGATGGCAGCCAAACATTTGAAAAAGGAAATCTATCTGCGCATGGTGAACCGCATGAACCGCACCCAGCCACACTGTTTGTCAACACCAACAGCTGTTAGCCAACACTGCCTGCCAGCCGTGTCAATTCCTAGAATTGGAGACACGAAACATTTCTGATGTACCCTTCACCCGGTGAAGACCTATACGGTATTCAAGAGTGAAATTGCTGAATAAATTGTTTGGGCTTAAGTAATTGTTTAATTCATTTCAAAACTGAACCTTTCACACACGAAACTAAAGTCTGATCAACAAGTTTAACAAAGAATTGGAAGCACTCTGATAACTCATTTCAAATGTGATGAGAAGTGCAGCTTAGATTCAGATTCAGATCAATGAAATAAATTTGCTTACTTTTTGTTCACAAAATAGAGTTGAAATCAAGGGCTTATGGCTCTCCATTTCGATTACGATTTGAAACCCTTTCCATATCTTTGGTTTCTTCCATTAGAATTCCATTATCCTACCCATAGCTAGCACAGCGAATAAGAACATCGGAGGTGTCCGTAAGTATGCTGAAATCGATCCACACATCAACTCTTTACTTCGATTACCAAAACAGAGCATAGGGACGGACGGTCATGTGGTCGAATACGGGGCCAGCCCGTGTCCAGCGCGAGATCAACACGGCCATGCACATGAGGAGCGTGAACGGGGAGCCGGTGGATCGTGGATTCAAGCTCTGGCTGATCGATGAGTCCTGGTCGAATCTGTGTGCCGAGATTGAGGGACCACCGGACTCTCCCTACGCGGGTGGAGTGTTCGTTGTCAAGATTCTGGTGCCGGATACCTATCCGGTCGTGCCGCCAAAGGTGGAGTTTCGGACGCGCATCTGGCATCCGAACGTCTCGCCGGAATCGGGCGCCATCGGGCTGAACATACTGGGCAAGGCCTGGTCGCCCGATATGTCGCTCCGCACCATCCTGATGGCCGTGAGGAACATCATTGGCATCCCGGATATGGCGAAACCCTTCGACGACGATGTGACGCGACAATACAGCCAGAGACATGAGCTGTTTGTGCGCACGGCCAAGCACTGGACCCACCGATATGCCAACGGACCCAACTGCATACCCGAGTTCGATGCGAAGATCCAGACCCTCATGGACCTGGGCATGTACGAGTCGCTGGCACGTTCCACGCTCTCCAAAAAGGACTGGGACGTGGACAAGGTCTGTCACAACTTTTCATCACTCAAGCGAGCATCCAGCGAGGAACGGGCTTAGCTACCAGACCAAAGAACAGCCAGCAGCAGCGGCTCTTCAGGCATCCATTTGGTGTGGTCCATAGAGCCAGCCCTCAAGGACACCCTAATCCGCCAGCATATTTATGCGCAAACCAAATCATCATCAAACCACAGTAATAACAATCCACAGGGAACGACACTGTATATCTGATAGTCTGTAAGGATCGACCAATCAATCAATGGATAAATATTCTTGAACATCGCCTGCAACCCAAAGGGCTCGAGACGAGCTTCTTACACAAATAAAACACACACTGACCGATCGCCGAACACGAAAAACACACAGGCAAAACCCATGCTAAAAACCAAACAATTTTGAGTCGAATATCATTTAGATTTTGATGTAAGCTTGGGCATCAATTGGATAATGATTGGAGGAAGAGTTCCAGCAAGTTCAATTCCGCCAGAGCCAGGCAATGTGGTTCTCCCTCTCTCCATCTCCAAGCGCTTCGCTTTCGCTTTTGCTGTGGTTGTGGTTGTGTCTGCTCCACTTCACATGGATGTGCGCCAGCTTAGAGCACTGCCACTGAAAAAAGAAGGAGGTAGACTCAAGTAGAACGACTCTCAATTATAACGAGTGGCATTAGGGAGATGAAGCAGCAGCAGTCACAGGTGCAAAGGCTTTATTCTCTCAGTGCACAGTGCCACAGCCTGTGGCCACTCTCCGCACTCCTCTCTGTGGACACTTAATTGCATTTGCCAGGCATCCACAGGCATCTCCATATTGATTGAGATTATGTTGCTGCATCAAAACTGAACATTTCAGCGAGTGCCCATGTCGAGCACTCCTGGCACTGGCACTGGCACACAGCCACACAGCCACACAGCCGCAACCGCCGGTTGCACAATGAAAGCTTTCAAGGGGAATTCAATTATGAAAATGGCGAGGAGCGCAACGCAACGCAACGCAACGCAGCCCAATTGGGGATGCGTTAATGGAGAGTCCACAAATGGTAGATACATGCATATATGTACATTGGTTATAGATAAGCCAGCCACATAAACGTATGAATAATATACATGTATATTAACAGAGCGGTCCCCGAGCACAGCTTGGGCTGCGAGTGGGGGCATGGTTGATGTGGCATGAAAACAAACAAAAAATTAAAGATGTAAGTGTGTAGGTACAGTTGCGCCATTCGTTGGTTAATCAATTTCCAAATTCTTAAGGCTCTGCGCAACCGAAGCGGCATGGGATGTGCTGGATGTGCTGGATCTCCTGTTGCTGCTGCTGCTGTTGGACAGCTTTTTGGCCTTGTTTAGCTGCCAGTTCTGGCCATCCATCAGATAGTCCCTAAAATGGCATACGTGAGCAAAAGGGGAAGAGAAAAGCGAACAAGTGTCCACTTACCTCTGCTCCTTGAGCAGTTGCATCCACTGTTGCTTCAGTTCGGACATCTTGCCAGCCTGTCCGCCATACTCCTCCGGCAGCATGGAGCGCGGAAAGTGCTTGAAGGGCGTCTCCGCATTGGGCAAATGGAAGTGAATCAGCTTGAAGACCTCGCTCTTGATGAACGGCTTGACCACGGTGAGCACCTTGTCCAGATACGAGGGGCAATTCAGCACATGGACCTCCTTTAGCCGCACGGGATGCGCCTCCTGCACGAACTTCATGTACACCCGCAGGCTGCTGAGCACCGTCTTGGTCAGATGCCGCAGCGTATAGCCAGCCATATCAAAAATGGGTATCTCCCCGTCCGACATCCGCCCGTCGTTCTCGGTGGCAAAGCGGCAGTCGGCCACCATGAAGAAGACCTTAATGCCGGCCGTAAAGTTGAACTGTGTGCGAGGGGGGAGAATCAAGCTGGTAGTCTATGGTTGAAGTGGATGCTTTGGCTTTGGGTTTACCTTGTCTGCATCGAAGTCAATCAAACGGTAGAAGAGCAGCTTATTGTTCTCCGGGGTCAGGCCGGGCAGCGGCACCAAGTCGCTAAGAGAGATAGAGAGAGAGCAAGAGAGAGGGAGAGGCAATGACGGCAGGAAAACCGGTTGCCGGCTGGAGCATGGGCATGGGCCCGGCTTGGGCCTGGATCTCATGCAATTTTCTTGCAAAGTACTCACGCCACTTGCAACAGCTGCTGGGAGCTCGCATCCAATGGATCGCGCTCAATGAAGATCTGGGCATGCTTGTTGCGCAGTCCATAATTGTGCTCCATCAGGCGCTGTGTGGCAGCCAAATCGCCTCGCGTCGTGTGCAGAAAGCGGCGCAGCAACATGCATGCTGCAAACACACACGCACACAGTCAGAGAGAGAAAAGAGAGGGTTAGGGCAAGGAGGCAATTTGGCAATTTGGCTGGAAGTCAGTTATGCAACTTACATATATTCGGCGGCAGCTGCGACTGCTGCTTTATCCAATCCTGCAGTTCCAGCACGCGCTGCACCATCAGCTGATCCTCATCCTTTTCCTGATTCTTGTGCACCATGTTCCGTTATAATATGTATAGCCTAGAGTTGCTCGCACAAAGTTCGAAGTTTCGAAGTTTCGATGTTTCCAAGTTTCGATGTTTCGATGTTCTGTGCCGTTTCGCTGAAGAGAGCACTGGAGAGGGCGCACCTGTGCGACGCTAATTCGCGACTGCAACTGACTGCTGATTGGGTTTCGGCTGGGGGCTTTCCTCAAGTCTCAGGCTGCTGGCTCTGCTTTGCTCAGCCGACGCTGACGCAGACGCTGACTCTGCGCGGCCCTCTTTTCGAACTCTGTGATCAAAGCATACACGCATGCACACATGTACATGAGTCGATGTAAGTGCGTTAGTGTGCCTGCTTGTTCATGTGTGCCTTTGATTCTTCTGTTAATTATTCCCCGTGCGGTGGATTGTGCAACACACTCCCGTGGTGTCAGAAGGTCAAGCGCAGCCCACCCCCGTTCTACGTGGGGGCCTCTCCCTAAGGGCCAGGCCCTGTTTGGAAGCGTTTCACAGCCTTTATGGCGACATTGGCAAACAGTTTTCGGCGAGCTGAAACGCCGCGCTCCACTTGCTATGCTGCCGCCGCTTGTCTGCTGGCGGGGCTGGTCTGCTCTGGTCCGGCGTACGTGTTTCGCAAGTTAAACTATTTAAAAGAAGAAACAAAAACATGAGTTAAAACAAAACCAACAACAACAACAAAGACTGTCAAAGAGAAGAAGCAGCAGCAGCGGCGAAAGCGACACAAAGCAGAGACTTCGATACGCTCGCATTCGTTGCTGTTGTTGTTGTGCAGAACGCGTGGACGACAGTAAAAGAAAGAAAGAAAGGTTCGACCACTTGCATACCCTAGCAGTTTCACATGCATATTTACGGTCTTTTGGTTACACTCATTACTCGTTCATTTAATGATCCATGAAGAAAAATGTAAAATCAGCAACAAACCAAAATTATAATGTACATTTTTGCTAGCCCAAACATTTCCAATGTAACTTCGAGGTAGCAGTGCCATTTTATGCTCAAAGATGTTCAAAGTTTTATGCTAGCTCTGTACAAGAAACGAACACTTTTTGCTAAGATTTGGCAAAGATGTTTCCCGCTGCCTGTCGTTCGGCGGGGTCGTAATACCTTCCATGCCGCGGTCACGTCTACAACAATTGAGTTGTCTTAAGTGGTCGTGGTGGATCGCATTACCATGTTATTTAGCGTTCAATTAATAGAGCTGTAAACTGTAAACTGGTCGCACACATGACCTTGACGGGGGACATGGAGCATTGACGCACCGGCAGACTGCCACATAACATAAAATAAAAGCGAGACCGAGGTGTTAAATGAGCAATCCAAATAGTTCCAAGTTCCATTCAAATTTGTTGATGTTCAGAGTTGCATATGTATGTGTGTGTGTTTTGCAGGCGTTCTTGGCACCAGCGACCTTTAGTGCACAAAGTTCAGCCATTAGCTGCTGAATCATATGCGAATATAATTAGCCAGAATACTTAGACGCAGCGGCAGCAGCAGCATCAGCAGCAGCAGCAGCAGCAGCAGCAGCAGCAACATCAGCAGCAGAAGCAACAGCAGCAGCAGCACTTAATGAAGCCAAGTAAATTTTGGATCGCATTTGGTCGAAGCTAAATTGTTGATTTATACTCTGACAAATAATATGACCCATAAAAGTTTTAGAATGTGCAATCCACGTAAAAATGTCTATACAAATAAAGGAAGGCTAAAAATTTTGCCTTAGCTTTTCTTTATCTCTTTTTTTTGTCACATTCTCTCACTCTCTTCATCTGGCAACACTGTCCTATGTCCCATTAGCAAACATTCGGCAAATGCTGCAAAATGGTAATGGTAATGTAATGCTGCGAAAACGCATTGCGATATCTGAGATCTGAGTGGAGTGCAGTGGAGTGGAGTGCAATGGTATTGTGTAAGCCAAGCGACTCTATAGACTCTGTGGACTGTTGTGTACTGTGGATGGGTCAGCACAAAAACCGCATAATTAAACGCTGCAAATTGCGACACACATACTAAACAGTTTCTGTGCAGTCACCTGAAAATGCATACAAACATAGCTCCATCCATACATATTAATTCCCTTATGGTTGAATTGTTTTCTGATTTGAAACTGCAGTCGTTGAGGTACAATGGCGCCATCTGCTCACTCCACTGAGTGGAAATCGTGTAGTTCGCTGGTATTACAACAGAGGGCGCTAACTGCTGGCAGCATCAAAATTTGGATCGTTTTCATTTAGAACTGTTTTTGCCAAGCCAAACAATTCGTATTTGAATTATAGCACAACTACCAATTCCAATACCAAATAAAAGTCCCAGCTCGGCTAGAGATTTCCGTACATTCAGAATTGATTTTAATTTAGCATCTTTTGCTTGCCACATTCAGAATACTCGTAAATACATTCAGAATAATAAATATATTAATAATTGTTTTTTGTATTTATTTATTTATTTCCCATAATTTATATTTCTTTAATGCCGCAAAAGGTGCGTGAAGGACTGTGGCGGGGGAGTAGGAAGTAGGGGGGGTTCAAGGTAGGTTTCAAGTAGAACAAGGAGATTTCTGTACACACCTCTCTCTCCCACACACGCATTTCTCTAACTCTCTTACTCTCTTTCTCCGTTTAGTTCCTCCGAATGAGTGAAAAATAAAATCAAGTTTCGTTGGACAAATTTTGAGTATTAGAAATAATATTGCAAATGGATATAATCGAACCACCGCTATCCAGCTTAGGCATTATCCGTGTTATCCATTTATTCGCTAACTCCTATCCGTAATGCTCTATCCTAGATAATATCAATTCAGCGGATTCCCTATCCCTATCCGTATCTTTATCTGCATCTCTCATGTGAGTCCGTTCCGTTCCGTCTGTTTATGTTTATGTTTCTCATTCATATTTAGCATCTAAGTACACATCAATACGTTTAGTTTTATGTGGGAATAATCTCAGGGATTTGTTTCGGTTTCTTTTGATTCTAAGTTTGATTATGACCATCCCTTAGCATCCCTTGGATAACATTTCATTTCATATCCATTTCCATTTCCGTTTTGCAATTGTCATTCCCATATGTAGACATCAATATCTGAGGGGGGGGGACAGCTACGTATATGTTTTGGTTTGCTTTGGTTTATGGATACGATTTAAGTTCGTCTATAAATATGTCTGGGAGTCATCCTCCATGCCAGTGCACCAGTAGCCGGGCAACGCTGCCTCCCGACCCTCGTCCGAGTCATCGTACTCGAGCGAGTCTGGCTCCGGATCGGACTCTATGTTGGTCCGTGGCTAAAATGTTTGGGCATTGCGGCAGACGCCACAGCCTAGGGCGAACTCCTCGCCGGTGGGCGGATGCATTACGTGCAGCGGGCACTCGTCTCCCAGCAGCTGCTTGGCCTTCGGGCCGGCTGGGCACTGCGGCAGCTTGATCTTCGGTATATTGGTCAGCCGCTGGAAATCGTCGTGGCATGTGTCGCAAAAGTGTGTCGTGCCGAAGCAGAAGAACACCGCCACCGAGCAGCAGTAGCGGCACTTGTACTCGAGGAAGTCGGTGCCGTGCTTGGGGCACATCTGGGCGCGTGCCACATCCGAGCAGCCGCCGCACACGAGCTCCTCGGGATCGAACTTCTCGCCGATCTCCGCGTCGCAGCGTGCCTCACCGCCGTAGTATGCCTTTTGGCACTTGAAGCACACGTAATACGCATACCGATCCATGGCCAACTGTGTCACATTCACGTCCTTGCTCTCCGTGTCCTTGACAACGCCTTCGTACTTGATGCTGTAATGGTTTAGGGTTAATTATAATACTAATTAGGATGTGGGGTAGGTGGGTCATGGGTGGGTCTACGCACCGCATCAGCGCCTTGCGCTTGACATCCTGCTTGAGGGCATTGATCGGCTGCAGTGTGTCGCGCAGCAGCGGATGATGGATATCCGCCTTGCAGATGGGGCACAACGAGAAGCCAAATGTGATGCGTGGTCCGCTCCAGCGCTTCTCCAGCACCGCCTTGCTGCAATGAAAGTGGAACACATGTCCACACTCCAGCTACAACAAAGAGAAATTCGATTAGGAAACGTTGCTGGCGGGGGATTCGACTAGGAGCTGCTTGCACTCACATGTATGGAGGGAGCACAGGAGACTGCCTCTACAAAGCAGATCATGCACATGTCATCCGCGTCCTGTGTGAGCTTCGGATCGTGCTGCTCCTCGGCCAGCTCGTTCTCCCGGGCATGGCACACGTGCTGCAGGCAGGGCAGACACTTCTCCTCACCCACAACGCCGCCGCACGCATGGCCGCAGGGTTTCGTTTTGAGGCAGGAATTCGCGGCATATTCCTGACACTGCGCATCCGCGCACACATTGCCAATCTCCAGCAAGCCCGAGTTGCCGGTGAGGCCGCAGAAGCGGCATCTGCCCACCGCCTCCTGCGGCCCCGAAATGATCGTGTGGCTGCCGTCGCGGAACTCCACCATGGCCTTGAGCGTCTTCGAATCGGCCAGCGCGAGCAGCCAAAAGAGTTTCGTACGGCCGCACGATTCATGCAGCTCCACGCGTATGGCCTCCTCTTCCTCCTTGCACACCTAAAAAACAAATTTGGAACTCGGTTTAGTGCATGGATTGGCATGGATTGGCATGGCTTGGACTGCTCTTCACCCACCGTTCGCTTGTGCGCTCGAGTCTTGCGATTGAGATGCAAAAAACGATCGCAGTCGCCGCAAAGGGAGCCGCATGTCTCGCACTGTATGATGGCCGCCGTTTCGCCATCATCGTGGTTGCTGCACATGGGTCGGGTGTCGCACACCTTGGACCACTGGCCGGACGACAGCTTCTCCACGTGATCACGCTCGAGGACACACAGGCTGGCCAGCGCCAGCCACAACGTGGACGTCTTGGTGCAGTGCTCCGGCGTGCGATAAATCTCCTCGAGTCGCGTCAAATTCAACACGGACTCGGCAATGGCCGCCTTCGTCGTCTGTGACCACTTTTCGCTCAGCTTTCCCTGTTGGAATGAAGCGGAGAATCATTCGGGAATTCGCAGGAATCATTCGATTCAGACTTACGCTTGCCAGGTCCCGGATGAGGCCGATAATGCTTTCGGCCTGCTTGGTTGAGATGACGCCGTTGAGGAACCAACGCTGATTGAGATTCCGCTTGGACTCCTTTCTGGGCGGCGCTGCCAGCTCGAACTGGAAGGGATCGGCTGCGGCTGAGGCAGCGCCCGATGTTGCCGGCACTTGGGCCTCGCCTGTGGGTGGACGGGAGCGCAGCTGTTGCACGGACAGATCCAGAGAGCTGCAGAGCCGCACAAAGGCCGGCGTCTTCTCCTGCTGTCCCTGCTTCTGCTGGCCTTGGCCCGAGCCTCCGCCTCCTCCGCCGTTGCTGCCTGCCGTTGCCGCTGTGGTCTTCACTTTGACCTGCAGCTGCAGGGACTTGGCTATGACAGCCAGAAAGATGTCCAGCAGTCCCAGGCGACTCATGTCAAAGTCGCTGCCGCTCTGGTGCGCAATGCTGTAGTCGGCCGGCGGCAGCCGCTGCACGCCCAACAGATCCGCAAAGCTCTCCGGCGAGATCTCGGGCAGAATGCGCCGCAGCAGGGCCGTCACCTGGCGCTGGACACGGTCGCTGCCGGTGTGCAGCAGTCCCAGGAGATCGCGCAGCAGGCCGTGCTGCTGGGACAGATAGGAGCGACCCACGACGCTGCCGGACAGGGCCAGCACCATGCTCAGCATCTCGAAGCAGTACGTGTCCGGTGCTCGGACGTTGCGCTCCGAGCTGCTCTCCCCGCTGCCGGCTCCAGCCTGCTGCGGCAGTGGCGGACCCGGCAGAGCTGCGGCTGCCGCCTCCATGGGATTCTTGAGATCGTGCGCCAGATTGGCCAGCTCCCAGTCCTCCTTGGCGCGCAGTGCCTCCCGCCGGATGGCGTGCACAATGTGGACAATCACCTGCTTCTGCAGATGCGACAGCTTGCTGCGCGAGAACAGAATGCCGACCATGTGTTCGCGCAGATCGAGGGAGTCGGCCAGCAGGGAGCTGCCACCGGCACCTGCACCAACACCACCACCACCACCACCACCACCGCCGCCGCTGCTGCTGCCAGCTGGGCCGGGCACCTCCGGTGGCGGCTCCTCGCTGCTGCGCACGGCATTCACATTGCTGATGAGCTTGCCAAACACCTGGCCGGTGATCAGGCGAAAGACGCGCAGGGTTTCCGCTTCGCAGATCTGCTGCTGGATGTGGGAGGCATGACTGAGCCGCATATAGGGCTTTGGCTCGCTGCCAAAGGGTTCGTCCAGGCCCAGGCCTAAGCCCAGACCCATGCCCATGCCCATGCCCAAGCCCATGCCGAGGCGCATGCCCTCGCCAATTGTCTGGAACTGTTGTCCCTGCTGTCCCTGCTGTCCCTGATGCTGGATGGGCAAACCCAGCAGCTTGATCTGGCGCACGCGCAGCGTGTTCTCGGGCCCGTGCAGCTCCAACCGGAAGTGGGTGTAGCTGTCGTCGTTGACCTTGGCCGAGATCCAGGTGCACGCCTTCGAGTCCACATCCACCGACTTGATTAGGTTCGTGTCGCCCAGCGATTGGCCCGCATAGAAGCCAACATTGAGGACTTTGTTCTGTGGAGAATGGAGTGGAAAATGCTTGAATGATTCTCCGCTGAGATCCGCCACCTGCTGCCGCCACTCACCTGAATGTCGCGACTGTTGTCAATGTGCACGAGCAGAAAGCGGCACGCGTACGTCAGCCGAATGAGGGACACTTCAATGATTTTCACCTTGTTGCGATCCTCCTCGTCGCTCTCCCAGAACGTCTCCGTGGAGTTGTCCGTGAGGGACTCGGCCATCGCCGGCCGCGACGACACGGCAATGTCGAACATTCCCGCGAGATCTGTGTAGCAGATGACCCGACCACCGGGTCCGCCGCTCGACTGGTTGTGCTCGATGACGTCGCAGTGGGAGTCGGACTTGAGCAGCGTGGACACGGCCATGGCGTCATTCTGCTCGTCCGACTTGGACAGGATCTTCGAGATGTTGCCAAAGACATGGGAGCTGTGCAGGAACTGATGGTCGGCCTGCCGGAAGCGTATGCCAAAGCACTGGATGGCCACGCGCTGCAGCGGCGAGCCCGGCGGCAAGTGGAGCGTCAGATCGGCCACAGACTGCAGCAGGACGTGCAGCGATTGGGTTATCAGATGGGCAAAGCGGCCGCTGATCTGTGTGTACGCTGCCGGATGCTCCAGCGCCATGTCCGGCGACTCCTCGTACCTGCCATCCGGCAGATGGGTGACGGCCGTCTCCAGCGAGCTGACGAACCACCACATCAGATCGTGCAGGCACACGCCCTGGGTAACGCTGCGCAGCAGCCAGTTGAGCGCCTGCAGGGAGTAGCTGCGGCACACGGAGATCCTCAGGCTGCGCCGCATGGCTGCCCGCAGCCGCTCCAGCTCGTGTTTCTGCGTAATGAATGCCATGGCAGGTCGGGACAGCAGAGAGCTACCTGCCGCTCCTCCTCCTGCTCCTGCTCCTGCTCCTGCTGATGCTTGCTCTGGCCCTGGACTGATGGCCTGGGCTTCTCCCTCTGCTGCTGCTGCCGATGTGGAGGCGGCTGTTTGGAGCACAGTTACGCTGGCCAGCAGCTTGTGCGGCACAAGGCGTCGCAGGTGCTCCGATGGATAGCAGATGAGCCGCGCGCCCTCGCTCTCGCTGCTCAAGTTATTCCTGCGCCGGTAGACAACCTTTGGCGGTGTCTCCTGCTGCTGCTGCTGCTGCTGCTGCTGCTGCTGTGGCGCCTGTTGCTGCTGCTGTGGCGCCTGTGTTGCTTGCTGCACAAGCGAGGCCCAGCCCTGGCCCATGGAGTAGCTGCGATGGAACTTGGAGACGGCACCAGCGGCAGCGGCTGCTGCACTCGTGCCCGCTGCCAAGGGTCCACCACCCACATCGTAGTTGTTGGGATCGCACGACTCGTACGATATCTCAGAGAGTGGCTACCCAGGGGGAAGACAGCGAGAGAGAGAGAGAGAGAGAGAGCGAGGATGAGCATCATTGGGGATTGAATTTGAAGACTCTTTCGCTTACCCTATCGAAGGCATTGTCGTTGGGTCCCAGGCCGAACATCTCGTAGGGCGGATCCTCGTGCCCCGCCGTGCCCAGGCACTCCAGGCACGCAAAGCTCTCGGGTGCCAGCCAGAGGTTGTCCGGGGCAGTCGGTGGTCCGCCCACAAAGCTCTTGCGAAAGGCTCCACCCACACCCACACCCACACCCACGACGGGGCCAAACTTGGGGCCGCCGCTGAGTCGTGCCATGCGACTGTTGCGGCTGGTGCCGGGCTTTAGATCGGCCACTCCCAACGGATGATGCAGATGATGGTGATGATGGTGATGATGCTCAATGACCACCGGCATGGCCATGGACTGAGGCGAGCGTCGCGACAGACAGTTGTTGCTGCTGCTGCTGGCGACGGCGGTGCTGTTGAAGCTGGAGCAAAGTTCCAGCAGGAATGTGGCATTCTCGCGCATTGTGGTGTAGACTTCGGCATTGGCAATCAGCGTGGAACGGACGCCAAAGAGATTGAGGACATTGTCTGCAAGAGGATAAAGGAGAGATTAGAGCACGGGGATACTCCTGGCTGCTGGCAGGACTTACCCTCTGCGGAGTTTGCCTCCTGGCCGCGTGCCACGCTGTTGATGTTGTTGGTGCTGCGGCAGCTGGCCAAATAGCGATCGCGGCACGTGTCGCACATGAGGAACCAGGAGGAGGCACCCTTGCCGCCCTCGCCGCAGTTGCCGGCCCAGCCCTCGCAGAAGATGCCCACCGAGTTGTAGCCCTTGCCCTTGGCGGACTTGCCGCAGCCCGGATGGGCGATCCGCATGTGATATGTGACGGGCATCGGCAGGAAGAGCTCGCAGATCTCGCACCAGCTGCCATCGTCCTTCTTCTTGCGCTTCGTCTTCTTGCCCTCCTTCTCGCCGGCACCCGCCGCACCCTGATCCATGTGATGCCCGCCACCTGCCAGCTTGCCCTCCTTGGCCTCGTGCCCGTCCGCGTGGTGGATGGGCGAGAGCAGGCGCGTCTGTCGCGGCTGCTCGAGGCCATTCGTCTGGACAATCTGCACACAGCCGGAGCAGATCTGCTCCCACAGGTACACCAGACACCGCAGCGCCGGCGGCAGCACACTGACCATCTCCGGCAATGCCTGCAACTTCTGCTGCTGCTGCTGCTGCTGCTGCTGCTCTTCGGGGGATGTGTTCTTGCGATGCTTGCTGCGATTGTGCAGCGAGCTGTTGCCGCTCTTGGTGAGCGTCTCCAGCGTGGAGGGCCGTATGTTGAGGTAGTGCCCCGCATTGGCCACCTCCACCGAGTGCCGCTGCTGCGCCTTCTGCTCGCGGGAGAGCTGCAGCCGCGCATCGCCCGAGTCGCCGCGTCGCGTCACTACGGTGGCCCCCTCCTTGGGCAGGCCGGGATGGAACTTGAGGAAGCTGGCACAGGCCATGGCATCGTGGACGACGCCCTCGTGCCACAGCAGAGCGGCAAACACGGCCCGAATGCTCTCGGCAAAGGACGGCGGCATGGCCCGCTTAATGGGTCCCATGGCGTTGCGCTTGGAGCTCGCTGAACCCGATGTGGAGGCCACAGAGGAACCAGCAGCTGTGGCTGTGGCTGCTGCCGATGTGGATGCCAATTGCAATTCGCTTTGCTGCTCCGTGCCCGTTGTCGTGGTCGTTATCTGCAGCAGACTGAGATCATCCTCCAGGCCGGAGACCACATCCTGCACGGCAGCAGCTGCCGCGGCAGCCGCCACCCCAGCGGCCGTTCGACGTGGCGTGTGCTTCGGCGTAGACAGCAGTGCCGCCGTCTGGCTGGCGGTGTAGTTGGGTCGCCGCATGCTGGCCAAATTGAACTCTGGCTCAGGTGCTGCCGCTGCTGTTTGTTGCTGCTCCTGCTGACTGCTGCTTCGATTGCCATTGCCCCGCATCGATGGGCAGGGCGAAGCAGAGCCAGGTGAGTGTCCCTCCTGTCCCATGGCCCTCACCATTTCCCGTACAGAGACACCCGCGTGCTGCGGCGGGGACTGCGAAAAGGATGCCTCCATGTGGCTGTGCTCCTGGGCATGTCCTTGATGCTGGGACTGGGGCTGATGCTGAGCACCCTCGATGGCATCGCCTTTGAACCATTTTTGTAGGGCCTGCAGCCGTATGGCACCGCCACCGACAACGCCGGCAATGGCAGAGCCGAGATTGGCGGGCAGAAGCTCCGTGGCCGCCACCGCCGAGGAGGAGGACGACGACGACGCTGCTGCCGCTCCCGCCAGTTCCGGCTCCGGCTCCCTCTCCCTCTCCCGCTCCCTGTCCTGTTCGAATGCTACAGGCGGTGGGGCAGACGCGCCTGCCAGCTCTGGCTCCAGTTCAGCTTCCACGTCCACATCCTGGTCCGGTTCTCGCTCCATTTGCTGCACTCGCTCTCGCTCCTCCCGCTCTCGCTCCTTTTCCTTCTCGCGCTCTCGCTCTCGTTCTCGTTCCCGTTCCCGTTCCATTTCTCGTTCTCGCTCCCTTTCGCGCTCTCGCTGACGCTCCCGCTTGGTGGGGAAGAGGAAGGGATTCGTGTTGACGGGACCGCCTAGGAAGCGGCGCTGGACAACGGGCGACTTGGGCAGCACGGGGCTCGGTGGGGGACTGTGCTCGGGCTCTGGCTCGGGGCTGGCGTCGCCGCTGCAGCCGCCGGTGGGACTGGCTGGCGCCAGAGCGCATCCCTGGGCATCCTTGGTGCCGCCTCCTGCGTCCAGCACGGGCTGCAGCAGCACCTTGGCCAGATGCTGGTTGAACTGCAGGCACCAGGCCTCCGTTGGGTACCAGCCCATGGTGCAGTGCTGCCGTATGGACTCCGTGGACAGGCGCAGCCAGATGCCGTCGTCGTTCTCGATCTCGTCGATGAACGAGATGATGCCGCCCAGCCGCACCACGCCCACCTGCTCCGACTGCAGCGTGGGATGGGAGCGGATGCGGAGGCCCGCGCTGTGGCGCACCTGAAAGCGTCGCAGCTTGCTGGGCGCCTGGGGGCGGCGCGTGGCGCTGCTGCGCTGCGTGGGCGGCGGCAGGACTCCCTCCTTGACCTCGACGCGGTAGACCTCCTCCAGATGGATGCCGTCGATGATGACGGCCAGGCAGTAGCCGCCAACGGAATTGGGCGTCCACTGGACACTGAAGGTGCCATCCTCCATGTCGCGGGCGCTGAGCGTGTCCGTGGTGCGCGTCTGGACGGGGCTGGAGTAGCGCAGCTCCTCGAACGAGTAGTTCGTGAAGGGCTTCATGAAGGTGATGGCCTTGAAGCACATCCGCTCCTTGGTGGTCACCTCGTAGTTGAAGCGCGGCGGCGGCGCCACACCGCCCAGGCACGCGTCCGTCGCCGACGTGGCGCAGGAGGCGCGACGCATGCGCAGTATATTGGCGCCACCCACACCGCCCGGTCCATGGGGACCCGGGCCCGTCGGTATGGCCTTGATCTCCACCTTCAGCTCGGGCACGAGCACAGCGTCCCCATACTGATCCCTGATGGTGATGGTCACCTGGGTGGGCCAACCATAGCGCAGTGGCTCCGTGATGGGATTCATTTCGCATCTACAAATGGCAAAAGGTTAAGCCCTGGAAATGTGGGGCATGGGGGGCTGATGACTCACTTGTTGGGATCCAGGCGGGACTCTGGCTGCAGCCAGGCCGCCAGTCGGGCACCCGAGGAGCCAGGTGCACCGCTGATAAAGTCCTTAAGGAATTGCCGTTCATTGGATTGTGAGCTGCAAGAAAGACAAGAAAAGTGGTTCAGATAAGGCTCCAGATAAAGATATGCACGGAAAATCCCATCCAAAGTTGGCGTTGCCTTCGTTGGCTTATCGTCAGTCCACAAATCAAAAGACAAACAATAGATCAACGTTTGGGCAGTCAACATTTGGAGAGTCTTGATCTGTGTAATAAAACAGGTAGACAGGGCTACTACAATAAGGGCATTCCCCTTTTCATGATCCCTTTTGGGGAGTCTGCTCGGCACCTTTGGGGGTGGACTCTCATCAAACCCAGAGCGATTCCAATCCATTTTCAATCCAATCAGAATCACAGCATCAAAGCCGGCACACCGCTGCCTTCCGCTGACCTGCTGCCCTTCGATAGAGCCGAAGAGCGGAAGAAGTGCAGCACGTAGGGGACAAACGGGCGAGAGGAACGAAGCGTACCGAACGCACGTTCGTCTATCGCTTTTCGCAGCAGGCGGTGCGCAGCCCGAAGAACGATGCACGATGCGCGATGCGTTTGTGTGCGTGAGTCAATACAATGAGTGATCCAACAGGCACGGACATGTCGAGAGGGAACGGGAACCTTTCCAACTCAAATGCAGGGCATATGAAAGATAAGATAACTGCTCCTGGATCGTCGATGACACGCCTCCACCAACCCACACGTGTGAAATTGATTTCATCAGAAATTCAACAAAATGATTACACTGGCACTTTCCTGGCTATAGTTTTTGCACAGGATCCGATCATTATACATACAGATGTACATTCACATTTATAGGAGTGAAAGAGAGAGAGAGAGGGAGAGTAGGGAGTAGGGAGCGAAGGCACTTGAAGATCTTTTAGGAAATCGAAAGAAAGGGGCAGGAGGCTTATGTTTGAGTAGAAACAAACATGGAAACAAAGCAAATAAAACAATACCAAACTAAATAAATACAAATGAAATGGAATTGAAAATGGGAATCCGAATCGGAATGGGAATGGTGGGGCCAGAGTAAAGTTTTCCAACGAAAATGATAATGTCAGGGTTCCAGCTCCACCACCACCATGAATACCACTGCGCACATGTCAGAGGGAGATGCAAGCAGAATGAGCAGGGCAATGCCAACCCTGCGCTTCACTGGCCAAAGAGAGAGAGGGAGAGGGAAGGAATGGAAAGGGGGAGACACAAATAGCAACAACAACAACAACAACAGCAAGAACAAAGGAAAGCAAACCAAGTGTTGCCGCAGTCTACCTGTGGGAAAACACGTTTCCACTGCAACTCCAAGCCCCCCCCGCACCCAACACCAGCACACACCGCTTAACTCATTCAGCAGCTCCTGCCCAAGCCCCACCCCACCCCTTTACGGGCACGCACTCACACGAATGGAAATAGAGCGCAGCGGCGGTGCAGGGAAACAAGTTGGAGTTTGGAGGCCATGTTTATCAACAGGTAGGTAAGGCAGCCAGTCTCCCTCCCGTGTACTCTCTCCGCTTTCTACTCTATTGCTCTCTTAGTGCTTTGCGTCAAGTTAAACATTAATAAATGCACATACACAAATATCTGTATCCCATACCTTCTACTTGATGTTCCATGGAGTTAAGAGTGTAATGTTCGTGGGGCAGAGAGGACTGTGTGTACAATGTGGAGAGCGAGTGGAGTGTGTGTGTGCTCCCTAAGCTGCAATGTCATCGTTCAATTCATTCATTCATTCAATTTTTTTTATCGCAGAACGAAATGCGGAAGAGTTTCAACTTGATAAACGACAGAGAGCAGATAGAGAGAGAGAGTGCATGATCGCGTGTGTGGATGTGTGGATGTGCGGCATTCGACCATTCATTAATCGTTCACTCCTAACCCCACAAAAATGGAAACAAAGGAAGAAAGAGGAGGAGTGCCTTTCAATATGAAATCATTTGATACCCTCCTTGCAACTTACATATGTATAAAATATAATGTTGATACGATCCTGCAGGCTCCAACATCATACTCATACTTATTTACATACAAAAGTTGGCTGCGCGCTAAGTCAGCGGAAAAACCAACAGACAGACTGACAAACAGGTGGGGAATGTGTGCTTTGCTAAAACATCTGGTCAAATCGTAGTGCCCTCTCCAAGAGTATGTTCACAAACCAGAAGAAGGGAGTCACTAGATTCGGCAATTGATGCCAGCAGCAGCAACAACAAGAACAGAAACCAAATCACCGTTCGATCCAATGATATAATAATTGAGTGGAAGGGAGACAGCATTCCATTTAAGTGCCCGCATCTCTCTCCCTCGCAACGATCTGCCCTGTGCTCTCTGCATGTGTCTCCCTGCGGGCCGGCGGCGGCACTGTCTCAACTTCCGCTTGTATCCCCATGCCATCCGTGCGGTGCGTCGTGTGTCCGTGCTGGAATCCAAATTGAACGCAAATTGATTTGTTGCCTGCCAAGGAACGGCTGCGGAGGGGAGCAAGGGGAATCATTTTCATTCAATACAACTTAAAACTCAGCTTGTCTCTCTCTGTCTCTCTTTCGCTCCCTCGTTGAGCCTCTCCACCCTCTGTCTGTAATGATGGCAATTAAATTTTCTTATGTCTCTCTCCCACGGGCAAACCAATTAGATGTGCCCACCTACCCTCTCGCTCCAGCCACAGCAACAGTCGGGCAGAAAAGCTTCTCTTCATCATGTGTGTGTAAGCCAAAGAGGGTGCAAAAACACAACAAAATGTATTCTAAATTTCGAGTGCCCTCAAAATATTTGTACAAAGATTACAAAATATTCAAGAATATTTGTGTAAGTCTGGAAAGAAAACTGGAATTCGAATTCGATCCCTCTACGATCGTTTCTTATCGCACCAACAACAAGCGCCAACCCCCACCCACTTGCACTGTGAATCACGCAAAGAACTACATCCATATGTTTCTTTGGAATATATTCCAGCTGAGCTTCATTTCAATGCTAAATTGCTTATAAATAGCAATTACTTAAGTGAATATCAATTATTTGTATACATAAAGTGGCTAACCTAACGATTTGGAATAAGTATTGACTCTGAATCTCTGGTTTATCTCTCTCTCTCTTTACAGAATAAAATATGGGGGTTTCAAATGCAAAGAACTGTTCAGCTGATGTAATTTATGTAGAGCTGCCCCTCAGACGCATCAAACAGCTGGGAACTCGCTCATCAAAAAGAGACAGAGAGAGAGAGAGAGATTATTATTGTGTACAAGGTACATTCGTTAGAAGGTAAGGAAATTGATTTTCATTCTCTGTGTGTACATGTAATCTTTAATATTTTCAAGTTACATATATACATTTTTAAATTTCCTTCAGTCGTATTTTCACTCCCAGCCAGCCAAAAGTTTATTTTGGCCTGGATCAGCTGCTTTCAAAACAAGACTCGAGCCACAAGTTCGCCACCCTAACCCATATACCTTGCCGCTGAGAGCACAGCGCCATCGCTCTCACAGTACTGCCACTGATCGCTATTCATTCCTCACTCGAAACTTGAATAGTACCGTACGACGTGCGCAGTGCGGAAAAGCGTTGGTTTTTTTTTTTATCCGTTATAGATCGCGACTCTATACATATATTTTTTTGTTTCTTTTTCTGTGTGTGTGCTAAAATATTTCTGTGGATGACAGCGGCTGCGGCCCGTTAATATGTATTTTAGTGCGGTGTCTTAGATCGCAAGAGGAGACCGTTTCTCGCTGCCGCCCCAAAAGGGTGGAAGACGGAACAGACCGACAGAGAGAGATAGAGACAAAAGCGTTCGCAACGGAAAACGAAAGTGCTAAAAGATAAACAAAACAAGATCCCAAGAAAAGAGGAAAATTCGCGGATCAAAAACCAAGGATATTGCCTCCAAAAAAGAGAAATGTCTGGAAAGTTAACGATGCTCTTGCTGATTCTTGGCACTCTTCTGCTGGTCGTGTGTGATGTTGAAGCCAGGGGTCGACCACTGTACGGTCGATTGCCCATCGCCGCCTACTCCGGATCCTGGCCCGCCTGGAATAGTGCCGCCGCCGGCGCTCCCGCCAGCCTGATCACTGAGACGTCGGGAGAGAATATCTGCAATCATTGTCACTGCTTAGGGAAAATGGTCACCTGCGATTTTAAGCAAAACCGAACGGTGAGTAAGAGTATACATGTACCACATACCAACCTAAAAACATAATTATGTTTATGGAATGGGAACTGTTTCGCAGAAAGGTGTGTGGGCTGCCGACTAATTTGTGGCTTTTTTGCTACAAACGAAACCTGCAATGCCATCCACAAGTAGGTCTATGTTTTCAACAGTTAATTGTTTGAGTCAACAACGAACCAGAAGGACAAAAACAGAACAAAGACAACGTCACAGCAAAACAAGTCAGCGACATTGACTACGACGAATAGGCGGCAGGCGGGCCAGCAATGGAGTGAGCCAATCGGACAAGTTCAATTATGTCTTCACTTGCAAAATACGACTGTTTTTATCCTTTGTGTTTATGGGAACACACACACACCTTCGCGTAGGATAATTACTATATTTTTTCCCCAATGGTATGCTAATTTCACTTATGGGACATCTGCACTGCGTGCAAAAAGGGAAATTTCGAAGACGGCTTTAATAATTTGTTCTTTTAAATGAATATTCAAATATTATTGCATTCCAATTTCAATTTCAAAACGAATGTTTTGGGATGTGCGTGGATTTTTCTTATGCCAAATCGAATTTAAACAAAAATGTCTGATTAATAAACATGCGGAATGGACTGCCTTAACTGGTCGCATTACTTCTCATCGACCTCCTCTGGGGCGGGGAATGTAAACAAAATCTTCAAAACAAAATGAGATAAATGAATGAAAGAACCGAAAAGTAACCGAAAGAAGGTGGGAGCGAACGCTCTCAGCTCCCAGCTCTCTGCTCTCCAGAGTCTCTTTCAACCAGTCGAACAGGTTATGTTAATTAATTACGGTTACAAAGAGAACGAGAACGAGAATGTGTGCGCGTAAGCATGAGAGCAAGCGAGCCATAGAGAGATAGAGAGAGAGACAA